TCAGCTGTTCCTCTCCCAGACATGATGGTAAGTCTAATTTATCATCATAATCAGCTGTTCCACTTTAAGACACTATGGTAAGTCTAGGTTATCATCATAATCAGCTGTTCCACTTTAAGACACTATGGTAAGTCTAGGTTATCATCATAATCAGCTGTTCCTCTCCCAGACATGATGGTAAGTCTAGGTTATCATCATAATCAGCTGTTCCTCTCCCAGACATGATGGTAAGTCTAATTTATCATCATAATCAGCTGTTCCTCTCCCAGACATGATGGTAAGTCTAGGTTATCATCATAATCAGCTGTTCCTCTCCCAGACATGATGGTAAGTCTAGGTTATCATCATAATCAGCTGTTCCACTCCCAGACATGATGGTAAGTCTAGGTTATCATCATAATCAGCTGTTCCACTCCCAGACATGATGGTAAGTCTAGGTTATCATCATAATCAGCTGTTCCTCTCCCAGACATGATGGTAAGTCTAATTTATCATCATAATCTGCTGTTCCACTCCCAGACATGATAGTAAGTCTAATTTATCATCATAATCAGCTGTTCCACTCCCAGACATGATGGTAAGTCTAGGTTATCATCATAATCAGCTGTTCCACTCCCAGACATGATGGTAAGTCTAGGTTATCATCATAATCAGCTGTTCCTCTCCCAGACATGATGGTAAGTCTAGGTTATCATCATAATCAGCTGTTCCTCTCCCAGACATGATGGTAAGTCTAATTTATCATCATAATCAGCTGTTCCACTTTAAGACACTATGGTAAGTCTAGGTTATCATCATAATCAGCTGTTCCACTCCCAGACATGATGGTAAGTCTAATTTATCATCATAATCAGCTGTTCCACTCCCAGACATGATGGTAAGTCTAATTTATCATCATAATCAGCTGTTCCACTCCCAGGCATGATGGTAAGTCTAGGTTATCATCATAATCAGCTGTTCCTCTCCCAGACATGATGGTAAGTCTAGGTTATCATCATAATCAGCCGTTCCTCTCCCAGACATGATGGTAAGTCTAATTTATCATCATAATCAGCTCTTCCACTTTAAGACACTATGGTAAGTCTAATTTATCATCATAATCAGCTGTTCCTCTCCCAGACATGATGGTAAGTCTAGGTTATCATCATAATCAGCTGTTCCTCTCCCAGACATGATGGTAAGTCTAGGTTATCATCATAATCAGCTGTTCCTCTCCCAGACATGATGGTAAGTCTAATTTATCATCATAATCAGCTGTTCCACTTTAAGACACTATGGTAAGTCTAGGTTATCATCATAATCAGCTGTTCCTCTCCCAGACATGATGGTAAGTCTAAGTTGTCATCATAACCAGCTGTTCCTCTCCCAGGCATGATGGTAAGTCAAGGTTATCATCATAATCAGCTGTTCCACTCCCAGACATGATGGTAAGTCTAATTTATCATCATAATCAGCTGTTCCTCTCCCAGGCATGATGGTAAGTCTAGGTTATCATCATAATCAGCTGTTCCACTCCCAGACATGATGGTAAGTCTAATTTATCATCATAATCAGCTGTTCCTCTCCCAGACATGATGGTAAGTCTAATTTATCATCATAATCAGCTGTTCCACTCCCAGGCATGATGGTAAGTCTAATTTATCATAGTAATCTGCTGTTCCACTCCCAGGCATGATGGTAAGTATAATTTATCATCATAATCAGCTGTTCCACTCCCAGGCATGATGGTAAGTCTAATTTATCATCATAATCAGCTGTTCCACTCCCAGGCATGATGGTAAGTCTAATTTATCATAGTAATCTGCTGTTCCACTCCTAGGCACTAAGTCACTACTAAGTCACCATTAAGTACCACTATGACGAGGTGATCTGAGAACAAGTGATGATCTATCAACCTTAATTGTTTTCTTTTGTACAGTTTAATCATGGTTTTTACATGCCTGTTATTTGTAACTCATGTTGTGCTTCTCAAAATCCTGGCTTTTCAAATGTCTGTTTGTTGTATTTCATGTTGTGTTCCTCCAAATCATGGTTTTTAAAAGTCTGTTAGTTGTATTTCATGTTGTGTTCCTCACGATCAATCCATTTTTTGCCTTTACGATAAGAAATAAACACTTTATATTGTTGTTTTCTTTACTTGTTTACTGTTAACTCTGTTTGTAGAGAAACAGTTATTCTGCAAAATTATAAAATGTCCATGTTCAGGGAAATTCGTTCATCTCTTCATCGTCCGACGTACACATTGACCTTGATATTAATTGTTTAAAACTGTAACATAATGTAAATCACTTAAAACGTGATATCTATTTAAATGAAACCCTGTCAATGAATGTCTATCTCTCTATGTTCTCAGTATCAATCACGTAAACAGTTAAAGTACTTGCGTCGTCTGGTTAAAGAGCTAACAATCACATCTGCTCTACGATATCGTTCAAGCTTTAAAGATCAAAATCACGTGGTCACTATTTAATAAGTACAAGGGAAATAGCAAACTGAGGCAACTTGCACTTTTATTTATTAATAATCATTTTTATTTTTTATTTCATTTTGCGAATATAGCAAAAAGTATTGGTTCAAACAGTCGCCCGTTCTCTAGCCAACGGGTGACAACGAGAAAAACAGCAAAATAAACACTGTATATTTCAACCTATAAATGAAAATTTCGTAAACGGAACAAGAAAATAATCAACCCCCCCCCCAACCCCATCCTCACCCAACCCTCACCCCACCCCCGACATCAACATCTCGCCTGAACCAATACGACTAGCACAACCAGACATCATCACGACAGCCACTGTACTTATAAATCTCATTTAGAACTTCACACTCGACAAAAGATGACTTGGAATCGGCACTAGATCACAGTTAGAAGTAGGTTGTATACTTATGGTTCTCGGCGTCTAACCCTGGACTATCAACTTCGGCATTTCAGTGAAGTTATCTCAAAAACTTGAAATTAAGAAATTGTGCAAATATATTTCTGCAATTCCACAAAGTAGTACCACAACGATCAATAATTAAGGCCATTTGCTTCAATGTCTTCCCATTGGGACTCTGCAACCTTTTCAACGACACAAGCAAACGCAGAAAAATGTCAAGAAATGGCAATATATAACAAAGCACAAAAAAAGAAATATCACTTTTCAAATAGGAAGCGACACAATTCAGTAGGAGCTAGAAATAAAATCACATTGGCTTCAAATAGATTTTCTATTAAACTTCGATATAAAATTACCTTACATCTGAAAAATAGCATCGGACCTAATCAATGTACCAAATGTACGAGGAAACAGACTTAGCAAACTCATCAGCTTACCAATCATTTATTATGTAATTGTGTTTAAAGTGTCGGCTTTAGCAACTCGCGAATATTGTGTTGTTTATAATGTACTGACGTAAAAGTTCATGAGAAACGGATTGATTCTACAATATCATTTATTTTCTCTATGTCATCGCACCCGATCAAATAGTAGAATAACTCATTTTATTGTGATTTTCCTGATAAAATATTTATGAAATAGAAAAACATCCCCCCGGCCAAAAAAAAAAACAAAAAAACAAAAAAACAAAACAAAAACAAAAAACAAAGATGAAGGTTGTTGGATGGGGTGGAGTTGTGTTGGGGGTTGTGGAGGGGAGGGGAGAGATAAGCCAGGAACTGAATTGATTGTATTACGGACGAAATTGATAAGACGAATTGCATCACTCGAAAATAGATTCGAAAGTAACTTGTAATATGCTGAGTTTAGTACTATGTAGCGATACATTTTTATATCTTTCAAAATTATAATTGTATATAATTCTAATCCTAGACCAAACAAAAATTGACCGAGCTATCTAAAAAATTTCTATCAAATATGTCGATGTAATTGGGTTGTGAATTACTACTGTCGAACCTCGTTGTTATCCGATAATAGCTTTTACGGTAGTTCTGTATTTGTAGAAAGTGACCAAGTGATACAACTCTCTTACAATAACCTTTTGTGGGAATAAGATTAGATGTGGTTAGGTATTTGTCAATAAAACGGATTTAAACTAATTATAAATAGGAATTTGAGCTCTACGTTCACACGCAAATATCAAAACCGTACTAAGTTTTCGTGATACAATTTCCTCGTCAGAACTGAATGGACATTCTAACAGCCACCTCCTCGTCCAAAGGACATTACTGAAACTTGATACCAGCTCAAAAGGAATTAATTATCCGGATATAATGAAACGTCGTTCGTTTTTTCTATTATACAGTCATATAATTTTAAATCTCTGAACGAATTCAATAAGAGTTTTTGTTCGACATATGGAGATGACCATCAATTGACTAAAGAACAGGTCAGTAATCCAAATAACTGACCACTGAGTTTGTCCACGATACAATCATTCTGACTCGGATCTTCGTCAGTGTTATTACCAGATATTATACGCATCATTGTGTGAATTGTCCGGTTCCGTGTCCTACAATCAGCATCCGGGACAATAGTGACCGGCAGAGACCCGTTTGGGGTCGGCCCCTAAACCCCTCGTGTGGAAAATTACTATTGAAAATTTGGCATTGGTCCCATATGTTGACCATTGATGAATGTCCACACGCTCGGCGAATAAACAGCCAAGAATCTGTGTGATAAATAATCATCCATATGTATAGCGTCAGATGGAACAGAGGTCAGGGGACAAGTGACACGGACAGGAAGCAAACGGCAACAAGGGAACGGCATTATCAGTAGCAGATGTGACGTGGCAGCGAACAGGGTAAAATTGGGAGAGGATATTGAGACATGACTGTGGACAATTATCGAAAAAAAGCAAAGGGAAGCGGACTACAATTAGATGAGAAATTGAGGGAAATATGGGAAAGCGAATAATATGGGTCAGAGAACAGGGGAGACGGACAGGAAAGAAGAGAACGGAAGTGAAAAAAAATCATTCTGAATTCAAGCATGATTCGTAAACAGACTAGAGCAATTAAAATTTGACTAAGGACAGGATATCGGATAGGGAAGACAATGGGATCAGAGGCAAGATATCGGTTAGAGAAGACAACGGGAGAAGAGGCAGGATATCGGAAAGGCAAGACAATGGGAGAAGGGGCAGGATATCGGATAGGGAAGACAATGGGAGAAGGGGCAGGATATCGGATAGAGACGACGTTGGGAGAAGGGGTAGGATATCGGATAGGGAAGACAACGGGAGAAGGGGGTGGATATCGGATAGGGAAGACAATGGGAGAAGGGGCAGGATATCGGATAGGGAAGACAACGGGAGAAGAGGCAGGATATCGGATAGGGAAGACAATGGGAGAAGGGGCAGGATATCGGATAGGGAAGACAATGGGAGAAGAGGCAGGATATATGATAGGGAATTCAACGGGAGAAGAGGCAGGATATCGGAAAGAGAAGACAATGGGAGAAGGGGCAGGATATCGGATAGGGAGGACAATGGGAGAAGGGGCAGGATATCGGATAGGGAAGACAATGGGAGAAGGGGCAGGATATCGGATAGGGAAGACAATGGGAAAAGAGGAAGGATATCGGATAGGGAGGACAATGGGAGAAGGGGAAGGATATCGGATAGGGAAGACAATGGGAGAAGGGGCAGGATATCGGATAGGGAGGACAATGGGAGAAGGGGCAGGATATCGGATAGGGAAGACAATGGGAAAAGAGGAAGGATATCGGATAGGGAAGACAATGAGAGCAATGGGGAGGGGGATATGGAATAGGAAAGAAAAAGAAAGCAGTGTCCGTTTTCTTTGACTGCAAAAAGTTGAAGGTGAAATATTTAAAAGAAAAATTAATCGTGAAATGATTGAAGAGGTAATTTAATACCACCTGTATCATTTATATTCACAATAAATGGGAAAACATCTATAGCTACAGAGTTTTATATCAAAATAATGTCTAGATACGACTATTTGTTAAAAACTCCGTATCCCTTACTCCTCGGTATACTTCAGTGTCTCATTATCTACAGAGATGTATATATATCCTACTGACTAACGACAGTTAATCTCGTCTAAAATATTCATTATGGATACCATTGTTGATTACGTCATCTCTCTTACTGTTAACGTCCCGGTAATATATTTGAATCAGTGGTAAAAAAAATCCTATTATTTGATATTTTAATCTCTGAAAATGTAAAACAGAAAGAAGAATGGCCGATTCGTCTGGAGTTCCATCAAAGTACAAATTTCGGGTACGGGCTATATGGCTTAAGACAGGTGAAAGAAGTCAATTAGATGTCGATATAAAACTCCAAATTACCTGTATTGATTTAAACTGAAGTTCAAAGAAATACCTAAGATACAATCTCGTTAACGTTTGATGAGAAGCATACCTGTAGCGCAGGTGAGTCTTACGCCAGGTAAAAACTGATTACTCTCCCAACGTCACCTGCTATAAGACAAAGGCTGCTTCTATCTTAAATCTCAATTTAAACCTCCCGCTTTTATAAGCACGGGGACACATACCGATACAATGCCATCTGTCACGTGCTCACCTCGCGCATGGTACCATTTAGCCCGATTATCTGTCCGCGATTTATTTCTTGTCTTTGTCGAAGTTGATTACAAAAACAGCAAATAAATCGGAGATAGATAGTCAAAGCTATGACAAGGCCGTAGTACACAGGCACAAGTCTTAGGAATAAATTAATTTGCTCACAATCAACGCAAAATTTGGGATGACTATCGATCTGGAGACAGATGTAGCGGAGTGCTGATAAACGCACTTAGATTGAAGTTAATTGACATATTATTTAAATCATCATTAAAGGTATACGGCAGGTTCCAGTAGATTAATCTCACGATTACCATCAACAAAGCTAAATTATATGTGAAAAGTAAGACGGCCCACGACGTGAGCTACCATTCAGATCAATTTTACACTTGTTATTTACCACACCGAGACAGGATACCTGTGTTGATGTCATCCTAGCGATCATCAACACTACACAAAATCCTTACATAGCTGTATCTTAGGTTGTCACGTTTCACTTCATTACTTTTATCATGATGTTTTAAAATAGGGACAATATAAGGATTTATACATCGTTTGTCCTTCACGTAAAAGTGGAAGATTAACCTTCAAAAATCACGTACATCATTCTCAGTAAACAAACCAGGTTTCTTCAAATAAAACTGAGCATGTTATTAATTGTTTCTTTGTATTGATGATAAACCGATCGCTAGGATGACAGAAATTTGTCATCCTCCTTGTAATTATAATGATGTAGATAATGTCACCGCTATAAGGTCAGATAAAATGCATTCTGTCCGTCAAGGTATTGTTTTGTCGAGTGTTTTGTAGTCGATGTAGTAAAAAGAATATTATAACTTCAGTAGAAAGCCGATTATAAATCATTGTTATCATTTCATTATGTAGATAAACAAGGACGTGGATTTTGTCTCATCAATCTTATGATGCTATTAAATTCTTGAGAAATTCATTTTTTTAATCATAAAATTACCGTTAGGATTTCAAACTTTCGTTTATACCTTGTTATAAAACAGCATTGCCGACTCCCAAAAATGTCAATTTCTCAGTATGTGTCTGTTTAAATTGCAACAAAAAAATGTGAAACCTAATAAAAAAAATTCGAGTACAGAATGTGTATGTTCTGAACCGTTTCACGTTTCGAATGAAATAATACGTAATACGAAAGGTTACGTCACACCTTGGGGACTAAAACAAGTGTCTACTACCCGCAAGTCTAAAAATAATTAAACTGCCACGTGCTAAGGTATTAATGGCTGAGAGGGTTAAAATTGTAACGATACTATTCACTTATGCCATTTGCTAGATTTTGTGATAATATCTGTTTCTTCTCTATTTATACAACTTTACATAGAATTTCTTAATTATTTCGTATGGTATAAACAACTAGGGGTTAACATACCGGGCGGATTTTCTGTGTACCGATAAAAACACGGCAGGCTAATCACTGACTGGCCATTGTTTAAATTAAAAGGCGGGCTAGTATCATATATTTCTACAAAATTTCAGGAGGACAAAGGGAAACAACTCTCGTATCTAATAACGCCATAAGATAGGATAATAATTCTATTGCACATCTGACATAAAACAAAAACCTCCACAGATGTTTAAAGTGATACCTTTATCTGTAGGATGAATATAACAGTCTACTCTACTACTCACTTTTGTCTACTAGATACCATGTACATTCCAATACATTAACTCGAATAACAAACAGTCACAATACACAGCCGAGACCAGTGTATCTCCTTACAACTGGGGAGATAATCCTGCTGTGAATGATTAGACGAATTCCTAACATTTTGTTCCCAACAATAGGTCGGGTATAATTTCTGGAACAGGGCGTATTTGTATTACTTTAAGGCTTCAGAAAACAATTTTGAATAACGACTTTTGGAGAAAGAAATGGATAAAATATCTAAAATTGTTTTGTCACTTGATGTTATATCTATTGTAGGAATCAAGGAATAACATTATATAATTAATTACTAACCCAGTAGAGAGTACAAAACGTACTGTGATAGATTGATTCGTTTGTTTTTACAGAGAGTTCGGTTGTGACTTAACACCATAACATCAGACATCTACACCATATACAGTTACCAGACTGTCGATAGTGACCATCTAACAGTGTGCAGTGTGTAAAATTGTTGATAAGTAAAAGTTATGTGCAGTGTATAATGTTGTTGATAAATAAAAGTTACGTACAGTGTATAATATTGTTAAGTAAAAGTTATGTGCAGTGTATAATATTGTTAAGTAAAAGTTATGTGCAGTGTATAATATTGTTAAGTAAAAGTTATGTGCAGTGTATAATATTGTTGATAAAGGAAAGTTATGTGCAGTGTATAATATTGTTAAGTAAAAGTTATGTACAGTGTATAATATTGTTAAGTAAAAGTTATGTGCAGTGTATAATATTGTGAAGTAAAAGTTATGTGCAGTGTATAATATTGTTGATAAATAAAAGTTATGTGCAGTGTATAATATTGTTAAGTAAAAGTTATGTGCAGTGTATAATATTGTTAAGTAAAAGTTATGTGCAGTGTATAATATTGTGAAGTAAAAGTTACGTGCAGTGTATAATATTGTTGATAAATAAAAGTTATGTGCAGTGTATAATATTGGTAAGTAAAAGTTATGTGCAGTGTATAATATTGTTAAGTAAAAGTTATGTGCAGTGTATAATATTGTTAAGTAAAAGTTAAGTAAAAGTTATGTGCAGTGTATAATATTGTTAAGTAAAAGTTATGTACAGTGTATAATATTGTTGATAAATAAAAGTTATGTGCAGTGTATAATATTGTTATGTAGTAAAAGTTATGTGCAGTGTATAATATTGTTAAGTAAAAGTAAAAGTTATTATGTACAGTGTATAATATTGTTGATAAATAAAAGTTATGTGCAGTGTATAATATTGTTATGTAGTAAAAGTTATGTGCAGTGTATAATATTGTGAAGTAAAAGTTATGTGCAGTGTATAATATTTTTGATAAATAAAAGTTATGTGCAGTGTATAATATTGTTATAAAAGTTATGTGCAGTGTATAATATTGTGAAGTAAAAGTTACGTGCAGTGTATAATATTGTTGATAAATAAAAGTTATGTGCAGTGTATAATATTGTTGATAAATAAAAGTTATGTGCAGTGTATAATATTGTTGATAAATAAAAGTTAAAGTTATGTTATGTGCAGTGTATAATATTGTTGATAAATAAAAGTTATGTGCAGTGTATAATATTGTTGATAAATAAAAGTTATGTGCAGTGTATAATATTGTTAAGTATAAATAAAAGTTATGTACAGTGTATAATATTGTTGATAAAAAAAGTTATGTGCAGTGTATAATATTGTTGATGAGTAAAAGTTATGTACAGTGTATAATATTGTTAAGTAAAAGTTATGTACAGTGTATAATATTGTTGATAAATAAAAGTTATGTGCAGTGTATAATATTGTTGATGAGTAAAAGTTATGTACAGTGTATAAAAAGTTATTGCAGTGTATAATATTGTTGAAAAAAGTTATGTGCAGTGTATAATATTGTTATAAATAAAAGTTATGTGCAGTGTATAATATTGTTGATAAATAAAAAAAGTTATGTACAGTGTATAATATTGTTGATAAATAAAAGTTATGTGCAGTGTATAATATTGTGAAGTAAAAGTTATGTACAGTGTATAATATTGTTGATAAATAAAAGTTATGTGCAGTGTATAATATTGTTGATAAATAAAAGTTATGTACAGTGTATAATATTGTTAAGTAAAAGTTACGTGCAGTGTATGATATTGTTGATAAATAAAAGTTATGTGCAGTGTATAATATTGTTGATAAATAAAAGTTATGTGCAGTGTATAATATTGTTAAGTAAAAGTTATGTACAGTGTATAATATTGTTGATAAATAAAAGTTATGTACAGTGTATAATATTGTTGATAAATAAAAGTTATGTACAGTGTATAATATTGTTGATAAATAAAAGTTATGTACAGTGTATAATATTGTTAAGTAAAAGTTACGTGCAGTGTATAATATTGTTGATAAGTAAAAGTTATGTGCAGTGTATAATATTGTTGATAAATAAAAGTGCAGTGTATAATATTGTTGATAAATAAAAGTTATGTACAGTGTATAATATTGTTGATAAGTAAAAGTTATGTACAGTGTATAATATTGTTGATAAATAAAAGTTACGTGCAGTGTATAATATTGTTGATAAGTAAAAGTTATGTGCAGTGTATAATATTGTTGATAA